GCCTTCAAGCCACCAAAGTTCAAGTGACCCAGTCTCAAGTGCCAAAGCCAAGAAGCTTCTTCAACACAAGTCTTCAAGCTTCTTGGATGATCCACGTGAACATTGAGCAAAAACATTCTATTCTTCTCCATAGGTACCTTCGCAACCAGGTTGTCTGAACCATCTCTCAAAGTAAGGCAACCATCCTTCAAATGAATATCATACCCCATCTCAAGTAATTGTCCCAAGCTCAAAATATTAGATTTCAAAGTAGGCACATAATAAACTTGAGTAATTAAAAGGTGACTTCCATTTTTTGAACGGATGAGAACATCACCTTTGCCTTTGATTGGGATTTTGGTATCATCTCCAAATATAATGTTGCCTTTTACTGCCTCATTAAGAGTTGAAAACAACTCTTTGTTGCCACTCATGTGATTAGCGGCACCCGTGTCAAGGTACCATGCTCCGATATCTCTTTCTTCTTTAGTTGCCATCAACAGCAGCAATTCTTCTTCTTCTTTTGCTTCAACATAATTAGCCCTCTCCTCATTGTTGGTGGAGGAACTTCTACATTCATTGGCATAATGGCCATATTTGTGACAAGCATAACATTGAATATTGAACTTGTCATACCTTCTTCCGCTTCCTCTCTTTGAACCATAATTTCCATGTCCTCGTGGTTGATTGCTCAACCCTTCATTGTTAAAATTTTGGCCACCTTCATTTCTTCCTCTTCCTCGACCACGGCCAAAATTTCATCCTCGACCACGACCACGACCTCGGCCTCGACCTCGACTTTGACCTCTTCCTTGAGACCGTCCATGCTCTTGCTCTTGCTCTTGTTCTCTCAAAGAGACCTTAGTTTGGAGAACTTGGGCCACCGGTTCCTGCTTCTTTTTAAGTCTTTCTTCATATGCTTGCAAGGACCTCATGAGTTGATCGAGGGTAATGGAATCCAGGTCATTTGATTCTTCAATGGCAACACTCACAAACTCAAGTTTTGAGTCAAGTGACCTGAGAATCTTCTCCACAACACGTACATCTTCAATCTTCTCTCCATAACACTTCATTTGATTGACAATGGAAGACACTCTAGTGAAATAGTCGAAAACAGATTCAGACTCCTTCATATGTAGAGATTCAAACTCACTACGAAGAGTCTGAAGGCGAACCTTCTTCACTTTGTCAATTCCTTTAAAATTATTCTCAAGAATCCCCCAGGCTTCCTTAGCCTTTGTTGCAGTAGCAACTTTCTCAAACAGAGCTTCATCCAAGCCCATGTGTATGATAGAGAGGGCATGTTGATCTTGCTTTCGAAGCTTCTGCAAAGCATTCTTCTGATTTTGATTCAAGACTCCTTCATTCTCTGGTTCATCATAGCCTTTCTCAACAACCTCCCATGCTTCCTGTGAGCCAAGCAATGCCTTCATGCGGATACACCAATGTCCATAATTCTCCTTTGTAAGTTTGGGAACTACAAAGGGAAAAGTGCTATTCATCTCTGGAAAGTCAGCTCTAATACCACTTTGTTGGAAATAAAGATTTGGGAGGAAAGACTGGGGAGGAACACAAGAAGAAACTTTCCAGAAATGCTTCTTTATTCTTGGCTTGAATGTATCAATTCTCAAGTACAAGCACAAGCCATTTTATAGGCACAAAAGACTCCAAACCCAAAACAGTTAAATGAAACTCCTAGAAACTGTAAAGATAAAATAAATGGGTACATGAACTATGCAGGCACATGAACTATGCAGGTACATGACTAAAAATAGGAGATTAATAAATCAAGTTTATTTTTCCAATAGTGCAGAGATAGTCGTATGGTACCTGGAGTTGCAGCTACTGAAATTGAGTTGAAGAGTTTTCTTACAAAGAAATAGGGTAATACTTGCATAGGATTATTTGATGTGTTTTCCTTGATAGTACCAAATTTGCATGGCCACCATGTCTTCTTGACAGAGTCAGACAATTTTATTCTATACATTTTGAAGCAGTTATTGCATTTATATTTTGCGTATTCTAGAATGTTAGTTCTTGCTGTTAAGTGTATGAAGATAGCTTTCCCCTGGGGGACTATTGGAATTAGGAAGGTTGGTTTTTAACCTAACTTTTACAAACTTTTTGCAGATTGGATCAGTATGCTATCACTAAATTTGCTGAAAGTTTTGAAA